TAAATGTCTAAGCACCGTATCCAATATCCCTGTTCTAACATTTATCTAGCTAGATCCTACACGTGCGAGGCGTCTCTTAATGATGTCAATCCCGTCTCAATTTACTACCTACTCCTTAGGGACTGAACATTATCTTATCTAGCCTACTGACTCTCTAGGATTAGTCTTCATCTTAATCTAGATCAATATATCAGCACAAATTACCCATGTTTTTTACAAGCATTGCTAATGAAGATTTGATTGAAGATTAAGTTAATGAGTTGATATTTTAGTTCTTTAAAAGGAATGGTTTAATTATGTATTGATTATTGATAGAAGCTTTATAAATTAGAGAACATAGAGATGTGATTAAATGATTATAGAAAATGGTTGTGTCGATCTAGGTCTAACTGTTGAGTACGTAGAAAAATTCTAGGTTTATAATTATTAACCTTTTTAATGCGGGTATATAAGACCCAATGAATTGTGTCTCGCGTAGATTTAGGTACGGCATACCAGGGTTAATCTCCAAATCAAGAAGTTGCTCTTTAAATAAATTACTCATTGCTTTATTGGATGCTATCACAAACTATATTCATTTTACAGGTACGGCATACACTAACAAAAAAGCAAATGTAAAAGGAGAGCGATCTCAGGTACCCACGTCTTTACATACCCTTTTGAGTCATAAAAGGAAAGATGTCGTTCGAACCCGTGTCTCGTAAACAGATGTGAGTTAAACGGTTCGAGAAATACCCATGGCTTTCTACAAAAAACTTCAAACATTTAAATGGAAGAGAAGCATGTTTGGCGCAATATTTATGCGGCATCCGAGCTACTCACTGGAGTAGGCTGATGTGAATTATGTATGCTCAGGTAAACATTTCCTGTCGCGTCAATTTAATGTACTTAGGTACCCAATGTCGGTTTCGAGAACCTCTAAAAGGGTCAAATTGGTTAGGAAAATCGGTCGGCTTGGCAACAAAGTTTGAAAAGTTAATTATGCGTTCAGGATTTAATTTCGCACATGTTTTAATTGAGACACAGAGATAATTAACTTTTGAAATCTGTCTGTCAAAATAATTGTTTAGGTAATTTAAATGCGTTAAACTCTCAAAATAATATTAGGTACACAAAGCACCGCTAATTAGTTGCAGCGCTACACATCGACACAACTGTCATTTACACAGTGTACATGTGTGCGTAATTTCATATAACTGTATATAAAAATATTCGTCCACCACGTTCACATTGGTATTTTCATTCTTGTGTCGGTATACGTATTTTTATAATTTAATGCATAGGTAAGGTTAAAACTATTTACAATCATTGATATGACCCGACATTTTCACTGTCATTATCGTAGTGCTCGTGGTCGATTGGTTAATGAGCACGCTTTTATCGTCTTTCAAGGATCAATGATGTGGGTTCTATTCCAGCTAAAAGTTAATTTTATTTTACCTTGTTATTTTTCTTATTTTTTTTTTTGTTTTTTGTCATAAAATATAAATATCAGGCTATAAAAGAAGCAAATGAGTTGGTAAATAAAACAATACTATTTTTTATTACAATTAATTTATTTATTATACAAATATGTTGTTTTATATTCAATATTTATATCTAATAATTAATTATATACCACATGTTAAGTTTAAAGTTCTTTAAATCATAATTAATAGATATGACAATAAACCTCATAGTCGAATCGGGAAATATCATGCGGTACGCGGTAATACGATGGCAGCAACATTTTTTATTAAGTAGGTAATAAACAAATATACAACATTCTTGTTTTGTAATTTAATAATAATACATTACAGTAATAAACAAGTAAAACATGTAAAAAATTACACTGTCAACATAATATTTCTTGAAATGGGCGACTTTTTGTCGTTTGAACTTCCATTAATTATCTATTTTACGACGGTTGTTATAAGGTTCAATATTCAGTGGGCTGTATGATAGTAAAAAGAATGTGACGAATGCTATGGAACGATTTTAACTTTCATGACCTTTAGAATCAGGGAAACTTTAAATTAATTGAAGATGGGCGTAAATATAATATGTCAATCAAGTTCGAAAGCAGTTAAATAAATTTGTTAATGAAAAATTAAAGTGAAGTGAATAAACATGTTGAATAGAAAGAAATTATGACAATTTCTAACCACAAAACAATAACATCACTTCACCGTATGTTCTAGACAGCATTTTAATATTCTTAAAAAAATTAAACATTATTTTATGTTAATTTTAATAAAGGCAGAGTTTGACAGGCTCAATAATTGATTCCGAAATCAATACAATCACTGATCCTACAAGGCAGAAGGTTGCAATTCGTATACCTTTCTCCATCTTTTCTTCACAATATTTTACGCCCATCCTTATCCGACTTGAAAGTCTTTTCGTCGCTCAATATGATTACACTGTTCGCCCAATCAAAATTAATAAAGTCCTTAGCAAATTCTTAGCGCTTTTGCTGGTGAACCACAGATAACAATATTTTCTTCTCTGGCTTCCTGCACCTTAAACCAGAATGCAGGTGTCTCCGTACAGTTTGTATTAAAACATTCAGTGCTGTCGCTGTAGTGCGGGTTGGCAGGAACGGATCAGCCATGTGCCTGGCTACGATGTCGTAGTGCCGAGCCGATGAATTTGCCTTTGGTTTAGGCCCACGTCGACGATGTTTAACGTCACCGGTCTCCGCATATCTGTGCACCCATAACTGCATGGATCTCCTCTGTTGATACCAAACAAATAAGTATTTAAAATACCAGGAAATACTTTACAGGAATTAAAGTTACTTAAAAATAATAATAAATATAAGTAAACACAATGTTAGAATAATAATTTATAATTAAGTAGTGGCGTAAGGAATAAAAATCCCTAACCAGATATGTTTTAAAGAAACACTCCTAACAAAAACAAGTCAAGTTACAATACAATTAATAATAAATTATTAATATATCTTTATAATATTGAACTTCATAATAAGTTGCAATAATTATTTTATTCTAGTGCAAAAATTGATAGGTGTGTCGAGTTACAAAATGAAATAAATATTATTTAGAATATCAACGTAGTATCTTATTTACTCACCGATATCATTAAACGCCTTGCTATTTCAGTTATTGTTAGTTATGTTTTGCTCATGCAAAACAATGGTTTCAGCCTTTTTAAATGTTGATAGGTGTTGGAACATCTTGTAAAAATAAAAATAACTTTGCACACGAATATAAGTAGTGTAGCAATAAACTATGAAATCCTCATAAATTGACAACTAAGAACGCAATTATTTTGTAAGTCGGGTGATTTGAAAAACATGTTTTAAATAGTCGGTAGTTACTTCATAAGCGTGTAAAATAAAATGACTCGAGATTTCTATGGTCGCCACAAACATTGCAAATATACTCAGGTATCGAACCATTAAGAAATCACAGTTAATTACTTTTTTACTGTTTTTATCTTATTTAAGTTGGTTGAAATGCATGAAGCAAATGAGATTATTCTAAATAATAAATAACTAGAACTAAAATATAAATAAAAGATATTATAGGTATAAATAAATCTAAAGTATTTACTATTAAAATTAACATAAGATTTAGAACAATAGGAAAGGAAAAAAAAAGAAAAGATTTAATTGTTTCTAATTTCAAATTTCAAATATTTGATAAATTAATTCTAAAACAACATGTGAATGCTGGAATCGATCCGGCGGCACTTTACTTGACAATTGGAGGCGATAACCATTGCGCCAAGCGCGCTGTAGATGAGATCATCGAAATATTTTATATCATTCAGTAACATAAAATTACAATGAGAAAGCACTATATTTATATGGGTATTGTATAGCTCGATCGTTCATTATTTTTGATTTCGATTTATTCAAAGTTTGTTATGAGTAATTTTATCTTTACCCTCGTTTTTATTTAAACTTATTTACTAAATTATTGCGTATACCGACACAAAAATGATTTTTAAATACCAAGATGTGTGTGATAGACGAATGTTTCTATACATATCTATTGATATGAAATTACCCACACATGTATATTGTGTAAATGATAGTTGTGTCGATGTGTAGCGCCGCTAACTAATTAGCGGTGCTTTGTGTACATACGATATACGTAGAAAAAACTAAACATAATGTTTATAAACAATATTTATTATGTACCTAATAAACATTGTTTAAAAAATAGTTAATGTTACTTTTTTTACTGATAATTATAGGGCTGTTGGTCCTAGGCACAAAGTGAAAGGTATAATTGGTTATTCCTCCGGAAAATGTTAATTTAGCTTTGGTTGATAGTAATAATTAAAACTGTCACTGAATAGTTAATTTGACGTTATGTCGATATCTAAAATTGAAGTAGTAAAACAAAGATAACATTAATTCAAATCAATGAAAACTTTTTAATGACTGAGTAGCGTGCAGTACTTAATAGGACCTATAATACCTAATACTAGTTTAATTACTATGACATATTTAATTACGTAGGTCACAAACGAAACCTTCAACTGTAATTATAAACTTTGCTTTCTTTAAATCAATTCGAATTTACTATTCTATCACTGTTTTTTAAAACAATATCTGTATATTAATATTTATTGCAGCCGTTGAAAGCTAATGCAAACGCGACTTATGGGCCAGGAGATTGATTCACGGATCGGGCAAAATATACTAATACGGAGTCCGCAGTCGTGCCCATTGTTTTACAAGAGGGTCAAATTCCTAACATGGAACTAATAGCTAGAGAAAACCGCGTTAAAAGCGGTTCAGCAAAACCCGAACTAATTCCGGGTACCTAATACATAAAACACGTGTTAAAGTGCGAATCTCCATTTTTTTAAGTTAGGTAATTCCTATATGTATCCAAAACCTCCTAAATCTGAAAAATACTATGCTGAAAACCGTATTAAAATCTGTTCAGCCTAACGCGAACTCATCGCGGACAATACATTAAACATACATACATACCTTCTTGTTTTTGAAGTTGATTAAAAAGTAAGTAGCACATCCTTACCTTAGCATGTTGTACTGCGCAAGCGCACTGAGCGTGTGGTGCGGTGATGGCGGCGGCAGTACCGGTGGTGGAACACACCGACCCGGGCCTTGCAGCACTCGTATGCCCATGCGCACCGTGTTGCGTCGCGACACTTTCTCGTCTGGACGTTCCGCTGTATAAGATGCAATTTTAATGCTATTTAATTTGTTTTTATGGGATAGAGCGATAAACGATTAGACGAATCACCTTCATAAGGAATCAGTCAATAGGGTAGTTTTCAGGTTAAGAAAATTAAAAATCTAATTAGTCCGTCAGATAAATAATTAAAAAATATTAGACACGTTTTTTTTTTATTTTTTCGTATAAAATTATAATACTTAAATAAAATGGAGTTAAGTTTAGGAGTGGGTGGCAGTTACATCACAACGTGCTACATTTTCTAGCACGCTGTGACGTCACACGACATTTCAAATTAATATATCGTCGAAAGTATTTAATTTTGTGATAAAAGAAAAAATACGTATCTAATGTTTTAAAATAATCTACCAGACGGACATTAAAATAAAATTTTGGAAACTACCCTATTAGTGTCGCCTTTGGACATACGCAATGTCAAAGGATTTATGAAAGGCTTTGCCAGATTTTTCGGGGAGAGCAGATTGGCGCAAGAAAAGAATTAATTTTGTTTTTAATTTTATACTATTACATTTACAGGCTTATCGAAACTATCCGAAGTATGGGTGTATTAAAAATGATTTATCCTCGTATCAACAATAAATTCACACCAATTAAAACAATTAAGGTATCAAATGAAACTAACAATACTCCACTTTGCGTATGAACGGCGACGCCCCGGAAACACAAAAAGCTGATCGGATTTTAACACAACAGCTGGCTAGAGCTCTCGTTATCTTTCACTACACCCTGACCAATTGCTGAATAGACTTTTATTACAACAATTTCCTCAATATAAGATATTTCTACAGAAAATCTGTGTATTATTATGTAAATTATCATAAAATGGCGCGTCATAAAATCACAAGTGTCGTGTTGGCGTCTGGATCAATACATTTATTATTGTTGTATTGTCCTTGACTTCCGATTCCGCCATCATGATATAAATGAATAGCTCTAAATGAACTGATCCAATAACTTGATAATCGACACCCAAGTACGAAATGAATTCCAATTCCGTCCTTTGTTAGAATAAGGTTGAAATCAAATAGAAAGGTTCATTGTATTAAATTCTACACCAACTTTCTTACTTAAATGACCAAATATAAACAGACAGAAAATGTCTGTATTAATCTTTAACTGACTGCAGACGTATTGATTTACACACGTCTTTGACTCAGATCTCTAACGCAGTCATAAAAGACTTTGGCTACTGAAACTATTTGTGACACACCCTAAGTACCTTTGCACACGTCCCTGTTGCTGGGTAGCCGGCGACGGGCCGGACGGCCATGTACTGTAGCTTTCACACGTACCGGCGTAATTTGTATACAATGCACTGCCGATTACCCGGTACCGGCTACCCGGCAACCGGACCGTGCGAAAAGGCACGGACTGTCTTTTTTAGCAGATAATAACAGTTGAAGTAATGTAATATAACACATTTTCTAAAAGACAATAAAAGATTACATCTTCTTAATTAGAAATTAAGGAATGCCTCAAGGGCCCGCGCGGAATCTTATCCGACGATTTCGACACAAAGTATTTGGAACATCACAAAGCCTTAATTGTGTTAATTAAGTGCGAAACAGCAGGACAATTGTTAATGATTTATTTTTGTAGTTGTTCGCAAATGGTTTCAAAATGTCTGCGCTTGTCAGTCTAGAATATTTTATGAAAGTTGTATTCAAAGGACGTTTGTACTACGCCACGTGTATTCTGTGTTTGTAATAAGTTTCTGAAAGGAGTTAGTGAACTTTCAGTTTACGAGCGGAGATAGAATTTTCTCAAATTAAAAATTGTGGAGTACTATGAAATTAAAGGTATAACTTATTTCAAAAAGGTTTTCTATTTGCGAGGTATGCGAAATATAAAACTTATAGAAACTTCGAGAAGGTATTTCGAAAACAAAGGTACAAATAACTTACCGATATAAGCTCTCACATCGTATGAAGTTCCTATAGGTGCTCCGTGGTACTGCTTCGCGGGTACCAGCTGCACGCTAGGTGGCGCTAAGGGTGTCAGCTCCAGGTGGAAGGGATACGCATTTGCACCCAAACGTTTTATTAACGCGTCCTGTGACAAGAAGAAATGAAACTGAAACACCTGAAATCGAGCTACGATCGAAGATTTTCGCCTTAAGCCCAAATAATAATGTGTTATTATCTGTACTTTCCTATTACCTACAGATCGTCAAGTCATTACCATATCCAGTTATTTTCCCTTAGTACACTTTAACACACTTACTAATATTCACAAAAAGTAGAAGTATAAATTAAGCTAATAAACATTACAATAAGAGAACCAAGTTACAAAGTCAATTAACTAAAACAATAATCTCAGTTCATTTCCTGCGATGTTTTCTTGAAACTTATGCTATAGCATCAACTACGTACGAAACTTTCTAGGAAACACTGAAAAGTTACAATAAGTATTTATACCCTAAACAAATATTTTATTCATCTTGACTTTAACAAAACATACGTAATGTTTACTAAATGTCGAGTTTGTTTAATGTTTCAATCAACGAGTCTTTCGGTTTCTCAGTATTGTTGAAGAAGAGAGTAAAATATAGCGTCCACTGACAGATGTTGTCAGTAAAGTGAGCCTAACGAGTCTCATAAGATAAAAAAGTTTGGAGCCCTAATATCTTTCGTAACATATTGACCAAAATGTTCATTTTTTGTCATCAAATCTATCAAGAGTTTATGACAGTGATCGTCAGAATTGGGCGTTTATACCAACTCCTTTTTTTCTGATGACGGGGATAAACGTCGAAACACAACCTCAAAAAGCACTTAGCTTTTTGGGGACAAAAGACAAGGGAGTGTTAGATTTTTAGCTCACTAAAACCACCCCGGTGTCCACCCTCAATAACTGTATGAAGGCACCGGGTCCTCTAAAAGAGACCTGCTCCGGAGCCTCCACAGTGCAACGCACGTTACCACACATCCCTAAAGAGACAAGTGCCTCCTTTATAGGAAGGAATTAATGCAGTTAATAATTTTGATAGATTATTTCTCTGGACGTCTAAGGAGGCCGTCAAATTCACTAATAAATCTACATAGGTTGAAATAATTCTCTGAATAATCGACGAAATACTTTCAATTATTTATTCTAATTTCAATTTTTAAACGTATTTTCCAGAATAAGTAACAAAATATAATGAATACAGTAATAAAATAAAAGAATAAAATTAATTGTTCCAGTTCATATTACAAGCAAAAGGCGAAAAAAGAAACAAATACGTTGGAGAAAAACAAGGAAAACGTGTAAAAGCGAAACAATATCCTTAAACAATAACAGTGACTTTTATTTAAGCTGGCAGAATGTACAAATAATTTTGGAAAATTTAATTATTATTTTCTCTTTATTACTCTCATAACTGCCGAACGATATTAAATTTTAACACGTTTCATTTAGTATTTCAATTGACAAAGCGGAATTTATTACCGTACCTGTATATGGTAAAAATAAAGCGGTTTACCTTTATATTCCAGATAGGTCTTGTTTCAAATAAACACAAGTGTTCGGTACATAAGTTGGACATTCTGAGTACTGGTTCAATTTGCGTAAATCGAGTTGGGATATTGGAGAGCAACTGGGGAAGTTTAGTCAGTAACAAGTTCTGTATCAAGATGGTTCCATCTCGGTTTACACCCTCCTCGCTAACCAGTAACAATAATGATAGCAGTTTCAAAGAACTTTAGCGAACTAAGTTTATTCAAGTTTCGTTCAATGTTGATTTGATTTCATATTTGCTTCTATTGTTATTATCTAATTGAGAAATATTTGTTTCTAAGTATTACAATGAATGTTTAATAAAAGAATATCATGGCAGGAATTTAGCACAAAATTCGATTATCTAACAACAGTAGTTATAAGACCATTAATTTTAACAGGTTACCTACAAACTCTACACAAACTTGATTCATAAAAGGCTTTTGATATGAATTTACTAGCAGCCTCACCTGTTACACTCCCAGGCCTTTAGACGAGCATTGAAAATCGCTTAGAATGACCTCTATAACAGCTGCAATGCTATTACGAAGGAAGATTTATGAGCACGACGAGGAATTGGACCAAAAATAAGTGTAATAAATAGGTTTTTAAAAGAAACTGTATAGGTTTATAACAGTTCGCATTGTAGTGACAATGGACGGGACATGTAGCCTGCAAACACAACTAGTGGTGCAAGGATCTGCTGGAGTTGAGACCGTGGGAAGACAGATGACCTGTTGGTAGACCGCAGATGAGATATCAAAGAGGTGGCGGGATAAAATTGCATACTAACAACCCTAAATAGAACTAAGTGGAAAGATTTGAAGGAGAAGGAGGCTTCTGATGACGACGATGATGATAATAAGGTAGTAAATAATCTAATTAATACAAGTCTCATGTATAGTAAAAAAACTCGTAATCTAGCAAAAATATTTGTGCGAATGAACCCATTTAGAAGAACAATCAGACGGTGAAAATCAGACTGTGATCCAATAATCTTCTTTTTATGAAACTGTAAAATGTGTTGATCCGGATTAAATATTTTGTTTACGTCTATTCTATATGCAAGCATAGGTATACTTACAGCTTTTTATTAACTTTAATAAAATTTGTCTTTGCACTGTTTGCCTCATAAAGCCTTCTTAGAATGATCTAGAAATAGTCGTAAAAGAAAACAAGGAATGTTCGAGCTGTTCATTACCCAGTGAGGGTGCACGACTAAGCTTAAGAAAATTGTTACTTTAACTGTGTAGGTAATGAGATTCCGTAAATAAATTTATTATAGGTACCTACGCGAGAACTTATCAATTTTGTGTTTGAACTTTGTTAGGAACGTACTTGTTTGTGTAATCTCAAATCTGTTAAATTGCTCGTTGAACTTTATTGCTTGTTGCTAGTTTCGTATTGTTAACAAAACTACTCGCGAGCTCAGATAGCCTTAATTTTATGTCATTACCGTATAAAGGATTCAAAACAATGAAAGCGATTACGAGATCGTGGGTGGAAGTTTTTCCATGAATATTTTATAAAGTTCGGCTTGGTCGGTACTATATTGCATGTTCGCCAAGAATAAAACTCAATTTCACAGCATTCTGGACGATAAAAGACCGACAGGTATTTTAAATTGCATTTTCTCACCTGGAGTGGACTGTTAGGCTCTCTGTCATGGTTGCAGTGCAGCGGCCATATTTGTGCCAAGCTCATGATGGCCTCATTACAGAACTTGAGGCCCATGACTTCTTCATCTTCTCGACCATATCTGCAAATGAAATAAAAGTTATGCAAACTTTCCAATATCATTCATATAAAACCTAGAAAGTGCTAATAAAAGTAGAGCGGCAATAATTTATACATTTTACTGAGCCATCAATTTTCCAACTAATCGCTATGGATGGCTAATATATTGCTGAACGCCCTCTGGGTAGGTGGCGCATTGATCTTTGCATTGTGGGAATTAAAATGGTGGATTGATGGCTAAAATGGATTTTTTCCATTGATCTGCATATTGTGGTCAATGAGATGCCAAGGTGATGTACACTGTGTTATTGTGTATGTAGGTAGGTACTTACAGTATACACAACTCACGACATATAATATAAAATACTAGTGATACGACCTTAGTCTGTAGGATATCTACATACAGACTGGATTCTAGAGAAAGATTCAGGGTCTAAATTCTGATACAAAGTAAAAACGTAAAGGAGTCCCAAATATTTTCTTCTTCCGAATCGATCCTAAATGCTTAATCAAACCTTTTACCGTCTGAATAGACTGACTATAACAATGATGGATTGGAGTCCATAATTAAATTCCCGATCTTCATTTACATACGTTTTGATTCACAAAACATTTTCATAAGATTAAGTACATTAAAATACCCTCCATCAGGCACCGCAAAACGGTTCTGAACCACAAAATTATAATAAATGGTTGGAACAGCGTGCTTTAATTAAAGGGCCAAGGTTGTAATGGGAGTAGACTTCCTGAGTTTTAGGAGCGGACGGTCAAATTACGGTATTTTTATTTAATTTAGTGTTTTGATGGTATTATTTTCATTTTCCTTGGATACGGGCAATTTGTTCAGATTTACGTAATTCACGCCTCGTGTGTTCGTGTAATATGAAGACGTGTATTAATGTATTTATGTTATAATACTTTTTTCCTTGAAGGGTTGTTTGGGGGTGTGTAGGAACCCCGCTTTGTGCCAGTTATGTTATAATTCGGAACAAGACTGATAATGTAACGAAATTTTGATACGCGACCTGTTAGATGTAAATTGCGAGAGAAGATACATGTTTTGCTCTAACTCCACGTAAATTGGAAAAATATATTTGTAACAAGTTACCTATAGATTTGAATTCATAACAAAACTTTATATAGATCAATATAGATATTCACACCCTGTGGTTTTGTATTGGGACACCTCAAAAAATATTCAGCGAAAGAAAACACTCGTTCGCTCCTTTCGTTATTATAGTATTAGGTTTCGTACTAACAAGAGCGAGCCCTTCAATTATACTTTTCTTTGCCCCCTCTTGTAACTCTATAGCCGCGTGCATACGAATAAGGAAAATGTCTGCCATGAAATGCCGGAGAGAAATATTACATTACAGGTGATATTCCACGATTCAGACATAAAAGGTTCCACACAATCCTTCATGGTTAATTTACAGTGGTTGAAAATTCTTTGAATTATTTTGTAAGAATAATTTGTTTTCCCCGAAAACATGATTATGGAAATAATTTTCATGAAATCCTTATTCAATAATGATTTTAAAGTTTGTACTAATTCTGAAATGTACTTCAATATACATACTGTTATCAGAAACAACAATGAGAAGGTGGAACATCTTATTAATTCCAAACTATCTACCTAAATCCCACCACAATATTAATTTACCTACACGATTGCTGGAACACGACCTTCGTGAGAAACAAGGCGAAACTAACAACCCTTTCAATTCGTACGTTTACATGAACATCAAAGTATCGAACAAATTGTTGCCTTAGGTAACGTGTCGGTACAAAGCGCGGTTCACAGCCGGCGCGAGGGTTAAATTTAGCCCAACATGCCCCATTCAAAGAGCTTGCACGCGCAGAAAACATTGCTATTCAACAATACCAACTCTACTAATGAACCTATCTGCGTATCATTGTTTGGGGATGCTTTTAATCTAAGGAGACGTTTTGGATTAGCTTGGTTTGTTTCGCACTATTGTGTTTATTTTGGATAGTTCTGTTAGGCGTTTTATGTTTATTTTCATAGCTAGGTTTACATTTAGAACATATGTGGACTTCAAAGTCATACTACTTTAAAACACACCAAAGAATGTAATTATCCATAGTAAAAGATAAAAATACACTCGTATCCACTAATTGCAAGGTTACAGTTCTTAAAATACAACGTAGACAGAAAGCCTAGTAAATGACAATGACCAAATTTGTATGGAGCGTGGTGCCTTTTCATTTTTTCGCGGCAGTTGATCGGCTGTGGATAAACTGATGCAGAATAACATTACAAACAAAAAAATATATGGGGTCTTATATCAAAAACACAGTCCATACCGAGTTAAATCAGTTCAAAGATGTGAAAATAGTGCTATATAATTCCTGTGATTTTGTTGATGGTGACCGTACACAACACATATTTCTTCATTTACTTAACAGAAATATTTTGTAATAAATGTTTATAGACGATTTCAAGGAATATAATAAAGCTTATTGTGGACTTTTATAATTATTTTTTTATTTCTTTTTTTTTCTTTTTTTTTTGTTATAAGGCCACGGAATCAGAACAGAGTGAACCATTAACTGACCACTGCCGAAAAAAAAAAAAACATTTCGTTTGAGTGGCTAGCGTGTTCAATTTATATGTATACGGTTTATGGCCTATGACAGATTTTCATTATCAATTTCCTCTCAGTCAAAAACCTGCAAAATACTTTACTGAGCCCTATCATGAAATGCTATGTTTGTCAGCTGCGGCGTCGGTAGCGGATTGAGTAGTAACAGTCGTCAAAACACGAAAAAATCATTTTTCTGTCTACTTCTCCCGACTTACTTCCGATTAGTACCTACCTAATCTAACTACAGTTAATACTTTAATCTACATCTAGCATAAGATTCTGTACAAAGACATCGTTATTTAGTCACAAAGAGATGCATTTCGAATGATCACATTATATGAAAAAATTATGCGCTCATCTGACGTATAGTCCATCACTTTACAAAGTCGACGGTTTGCTTTCTTCAAAAGATTATGCTAACTATAAAGTAGATGAGTCTCCCACCAGGAGTCAACGACAAAAAAATACTTTATTAGATGTTTGGACGGCTACAACTACTCAACCCACCAATGGTACCACAGCTGACACTCATGAAGCTTCATGACACAACTCCTAGAAGCATCCCACAGGTTATCGACTGAGAGAAAATAGCTAATAAAAATTAGCGACTGGCAATATGGATATATTGTGGTATTATTTGGTGTTTCTGTGCCCGGCATACAGTGGCGCGCAATTTAAAGTTAAGAATTGTGACAAAAAAAATATGAATAATTTGAATAAAAAACGAAAGTAAAATGTTTTATTCCAGCTCCTTTCAACGCTCATAACTCAGTCCAGACTGAGATTTCCATATATGACCCCATAGACAATTTCGTTTGTAATGACATTCTAGATAATATTTTCCATAAATCATCGACTGCCGCCAGAAAAAAGAAAGGCACCAATTTTAGTCAATGCCCTTTATCTTGAACTTTATAGATGGGGATAGCAATTAAAGTCAGAAATAAGTAGACCTTCACAATTATTTTTGGAAGGTTACCAATACCAACATAATAGATTTGCAAAGGCTTAAAATAATGGTGGCTATAATCTTTTAATTGCTTATGTAGGCTTATCAAACATAAATTTATCTAAGTATTTTATAACTAGTTTTTTTGCGACATTTAAGCTGAAAAAAATTACTTTCTTGGCGACATATCTGTACAGATCTTTGAGAAATTCTAAGAGTCTTAAGCCCCTCTTTTAAAAAGTTCTCTATCGAGCTGCTACTTGAAGATTTTTATCGATTCCCTGAACACGTTGGCGAACGAGTCTTCGAAATATTCATAAAAGAACGGTTTACGATTCCATTGGTAGATACGTGTGATGTTATGAAATACTGTGTTTTGCTCGATAATAGCTTTATATCACTTTATAGATCTAGATTTTTCTAGTTGTGTTTTTTTGATTTTACACAATTTGTTGCTGAGTGATTGTCTTTACTTTATGTAAAAAATGGATATTTTTTTTTGCAGATTGTTAAATATAACATGAAAGGCCGAAACTGATTTGCCAAACTGATAGCGACCTGAAAGAATGGAATAAAGTTAAAAATTCGACTAATTGAAATATTTTATTGATTTTTATTACATAATAAATGAACTCGGAAGCATTATATTACACTGTTCATTCGGAATTTAATATTGTTTCATTAAATATGAATTTCCTGAAATTGCCAAATTGCTCTTCCTTGTGCGAACAGAAATTTCCGAGGAATGCTCATGGGATTGTGTAACAAAATGAAAAAGAAAAGCAAAAAGATTTTAGTCCCAGTAATAGGAACTCTAGGGACATTTTAGGCTGATTAAATTAAGCAACAAAAGGCATATTAGGCCGAAAGTACACTGTAAGTTTAGACGGTAGAAAATAACTCAAGATATCAAATAACGTTGTGAATCTGAGTCATTAAATTTGTGAAATAAACCAAAAGTAACCAACCTACAACGAAAAGAGAAATAAAGATAGAAACGAACAGTAATGGAATTTTTGTACTATATTTTTTATGGAATTACTCCATAAAAGGACATAATACGAACCGCTGTAAACCGGCCAGACATATCGCATTCGCTTTTAGGCGAAAAGTATATTTTTTATAGTATTACGTTTTATCTGACGGTCATAAAATTAGAGAGATTATTCCATGTAAATTATCTCCGTAAAACATCCACTCTGAAAGGGGTATCATGCTTCGCTGAGCGGCAAATACGGTGTTTTCTACTTTTTATCAACTTCAAACTAACTATTATCGCGTTAATACACCCTCGGGTATTTATGGGGCCGGATGTAAGCTTTTACATGTCGCCGTTTTCCTTTGAACCGATAAGTATCGATAAAATGAACTGCGCCCCTGCCTACCTTTTTATAAATAAGAAATACAAAGTTACGTGCGTTCACGCTAAAATCTTTTACCCAGCAAAGGTTTTAGAAACCTTTTCATTTTACATTTTGCTGAATGGAAACTTTTGAAATTTTACTGCAGTAATTTCTGTACTTGACAGTTTTTATTTTATAAAGAAAAATAGAGTACTATCCTCATTTGTATTCCAACTTAAAAAGCTTTTACTTTACAGCCCATAGTTATTTTTGTTTATATTTCTTCAAAGATTTTTAAACTATTTTTTGTATTTCTTTATTAAAACTTATTCTTCTTTTATTTTTAATTCAAAATATCTTATTTAAGTACCTATCATATTACGATAAACGAATATTTTTTTACCAGAGATCCATCATAGAAGAACATTTATACAAACTTGTCGATAACTTAGGTGATTAGTTTGGGGCAACTTGAGACCATCAATATGTATAAATAGGCCAAACATATAAGTTATACATGAGAAACATCTCTGGGCTGTTTCCACAAACTTGATGCTTCGCAGAGTTCCCGGTATTGAACTTCCATAGTCGCTAAGAAGATTTAGCAAGAGTTCCAAGGAAACTTCTAAATGGACTCTGTGAGCTTTTCAACTGTTTAAGTAGCTATTCAAGAATTCCTATCATAAAAATGTAGTATAATTTCATGAGATTGTTGCCGTTTTATGTAGCTTTATAGTACTTTCGGGAGATGCTTGCTGCATGCTTGCGCCAACTGGATTTTAAGTGTGGGAGAGCCATGCTTCGGCACGATACCACAGCCTCACAGAAAACCGACGTGAAGCAACGCTTGCGTTGTATTTCGTCGTGTGAGTGAGGTTACCAGAGGCCCAATTACCCTCCCCTTCCCCAATCTCCCCAATTCCTGAATTCCCCACGATCCTCAAATTCCTAATCCCCAAAAGGCCGGTAACGCACTTGTAACGCCTCTGGTGTTCCAGGTGTCCATGGTCGACACCGATTGCTTACCATCAGGTGATCCGTCTGCTCGTTTACCGGCTTATGCCATAAGAAGACCCCAATTATAACTCGTTTGTAACACAGAATATATGGAAAAATTACTCACAATGGATATTGATCAATTATATTATGTATCTACAGTAAATAGTTAACTAGTTCTTAGAATAATCTACATACATACGTAATTATCCCGAAATACTCTAGTATTAGTAATTTTACTTAAGTTAATTTTGCGTTGTTACTTAATGATAATCTGTTGTAATATTGAATTAACGACGTATAGTTTATATTGTTTTACTTCAGTAATAATGTTAGGCGCTAATAGATTTAGTTGCTTCGTTTACACGGATCGAATTTGTTTAGGGCTTTTGTGGTTTTAGAACTATGTTGTCGAAATTATTGTTATAAATAACATGTAGGAGTTAGAGATTAGATCTGGAGGTATGTTATAATTCTAAGCACAAATAAATAATACTCGTAAAGCTTAGTATTTTCGCTACTTTATTTTATCGCTCATGTTTTTAATCCGTACTTATACATATTGAAAAACAATTGATAAGTTGTGTTCACTACTCAGACTACAATCATAATATCAAGAGTAAAACTTTCCCTATTTCTATCACTTTCTGTTCCTTGCATTCATCCGTCACTTTAAGGTTCTTTACATTACTTTTTCCAGTTAGCTACTTCATATGACAACACTTTTATACTAAAACATTTCATACAAATACTCTTAAGATATAACTAATGCGACCTTAAAAATAATTCAACACCTAAACTAAATCTCACCTGAACGTCAATGTAACTTGTCCATACAGTTTCTTGTTCTCCAAGTATTCAGGTTCCACGTGGAGAACCCCTTGGATTCTGTCGATGGCGCCATTTTCCACCACTAGGTCGCGCGAAGCCAGGTACAGCGTCAACTTGTTGTTTGGTGAGGATTTCTTGAACACCCTGTGGATGTTTAAAGTATTTTTAAAATATTCTGTGTTACGTGGAATTGATAATGTAATTGTGGCGACATAATGTCACATGTTAACGGATGACGTCATAAAATCCTACATCGCACGTGCGAAGATTACAATCAAATTAACACGAGTAGAAAATCCCAACGAACAACTGTTGGGCAGAAAGCCCGCCAGGCACGATCACCTCGCTTGGTCAGAGGATCCTCCTGTTCCGATCTTAGGGAACTATACTCTCTGTTCCCTACATAATTATATTTCACCTTTCCTTCACTACTTTGTTTGTTTTACTCAAACTTTGCCCCAAACTAAGATTTTCTTTTGTGTTGAAGGTCTGTTGGAAAACACTTCACACCAAGACTTGATAAAATAATTTGTGTATCACACTGAAGGTTCTTCCATGCGGTATTCGAACACGCAACACATTGTGTAAGGTCTGAATACCCAGAAACCATCAAGCTTGCAGCTGGATTAGCTATTTTGAATCAAATACTATGTTTCACGCTTAAACCAGATTTAACCCTTACCACGTTATAGGTATAACAGTAGCATTGATGTTACAATCAGTATACTATCTCTCACTAGATTGGAGTCATGCATACATATCTTCACATGTTACGAGTAGGTACACGGTACAGAGGTACCTCTGACGTAATTCCAAACATGACCTGACAGATCAGTTGATGTATCTGCTAATTTGCTACCATAACTGACTCTGGTTACGGTCCGGTGTCTCGATTGCTGACAATTGGCCTGCCAATTGACCCCATCAACACTAACTCGACTCATTTAGTCTTCAGGACGTATTTGGTTATGAGCTGACAGCTATGCTTTGTAATTTGAGGCGATCAATCAAAGCTACAAGTAGCCATGCCGGTGTGGAGTGCACGGAGACAATAGACCAGCATTCTATTAGATTCTTCCCAGAAATGCCTAATGAATTTGATTCTCCAAAAGTTCGAAGGTATAATTAAAATCTCTACATTCTACTATCCAATTCAACGTGTTCACCATTCATTCTAATTTATAACGAACCCTAGAATGGATGGAACCAGGCTATTATTGGGAATTGAAAATCTAAATATTCAATACTTCGTTGTCCCTCCTGGATAACAGGGTCTTATAAACATGAATTTAATATTAATTTTAGTCTTAATATAATAATAAATTATACTACCCAATTCGGGACCCTATAGGAAAAACATAACAACATTATTATTAACATTGCCCCACACTAGGATTTTCTCATGTATCGTGGGTGCGTTTACAAACATACAAGTTTATAATTTTACATACACCCAGACCAGGAACAACAGTTTGTAGATCACACAAAGATTTGCTTCGTGCGGGAATTGAACACGTTGCCGCGCAACGCAACGCGTCGGTCCTTCGGAGCACCCTCAGGATGAAGACCCTGGGAACGAGCCCCGCGTGCCCTTATGGTATAGACGGTACTGACTATACAGTATACCTATATTATCACATTCATACATCACCAATAACACTGTGATATTCTAACTCCTAAGCAAAAAGCACTCACCTAATCGATTCGCAGTATCACAATCTAATTCTACAAAGTCCTCCACAGGATTCTTGTCACATCCACTATCCAGTTTAGAGCAAACACTTTTATTGAACTCGTACTACCATTCTCTATATTGACCTTTATATTTTAAGCGAAACTGTACTCTATTTCTACGACTTACCGTTGGGAATTGAGTGCGTTGTCCGTCGTCATCTTTAATTTGTGTTGTGACCTGCAAAAGAAAGAATTCTTTGTTATTGTTGGTACAAATCGAATGTTATTTATTGGGAACAAATAAATATCTGATGATTTATAGGTATTTGAGGACTTGTTCACGTGAATTGATTGAAAAAAAAACGTCGACAGTAATTAAAAAATCAATATAAATACATTTTATATAAAACTTACTAAGCTTTTATTTTCTTATTATATGAAATATTAGTATTATAAAAGGCAGAAATAGTAAACTTTTCATAAGTAACTTACTCTAAAGAAACGAATCGCTCGTTAACAATACATTTTTAACATTAAACAACTATAAAACACGTACTAACTAATAAACCAACACGATCACGAACGGAGACAACTAGCGAGAAACTGATTGAGTTTCAATTGTCTATATTTATTGGTATTTTAGAAATAATCAGGGCTTGATGAATATTAAATTAGATAAACAGTGACGTGTGACGCAAAGCTTATAAATAAGTATCAATGAACTTACTTTGTTTTTACCTATGTGTCATAAAACTAGTGATTTGACTCGGGTTTGTTCAAGTGTTATTCCTTGACTTTCTCGTTGAATCTGTGATTTTCATATCTTATTGGTAAATTTGTTATTTTTACAATGTGACTTCCAATGATGAAATAAGTACGTACAACTAAAAAGGAATTATCAAATTCGGTGCCGTTTTTCGGAATTAGTTTTATTTGTACAGAAATCACTATTATGATATTATTTTATCTGTAATTAATTTAGTATGGCTCACGAAAGTTTTAATATTATCAGTTTTTTATTATACTAAAACTTTATTTATCGTAAAAATTTACTCGAAACGATTTGTTGTTTGATTTTTCTACATCAGAATTTTCGCTCCAATTTTGTTTGAATAAAGAACGCTGTTTTTTTAAAGCTGCCAGGATTTTTTTTTTTAATAAGAATCATGATTTAAATACTTTTTGTGAGAAACTTTTTTTTTTGTAAATACTTATATCACTTTTACTGCTCACGTTTATTTTTGATAGAAAAATATTTAATATTCACTTTCACAAGTACCTACCTATCGCCAATAAACAATAATTATTTATAGTTAAACAAGATACACTTGAACTCCATACTACCGGTTGCATTGATTCATATTCACAGCGTTATGAATAATACCTACATAATTTATTAGAGCAACGTTACACTTATCACAGACAGCAATATCGTAAATTAAATTAATCACTAGCTTCAAGAGTTCTGCTCAGAACAGAACTAACTAGTAACTACATCACAACAATACTGACATTGTTTCAAAGACAACCTAATGCCGATGGCCTTTATTTAATCTGTGTTGTATTCTAATCGATTAAATTGGCGATTTCGGGCGACATATTTGCACAAAATATTTGATTGCTCACGTTCAATTCAGGGATACAGCAACTGAATTTAACCTTTGTGTTATTTGTTATTAGGTGTGAATTCCAGTGGGATGTGTTAGAGTAAATTGTAATTCGGTATTCATGGTGTGTGACGCACAATTAGCGATTGAATTTCGACGGATGAGACAATACGTCGAAACGTTATTGCATTGAAATAACTTGATTATTTTGAGCGCGACTTGTTGACGAACTGTTGAACTGTTGAACAAATTTGTGATTGTTGCATTGGTGTTGCGAGCAATGACAAAATATTTATTTCCATTATGGCTTTAGATGGTGAATCCAATTTTATATTTTAAAAATTTAAAGATTAATGTTTTTAAAAGCCGAAGTTCTAATATTTTCAAAGATGATTATGGTACCTATTATCTACATAATATCCTATAAGTACTAGAGACAATATAAGGATGGAGCTCAATAGAACCATAGGTAAAGTATTGAAAATTACTTCAACTAACTAAATCTCATAAACATAATAATATGCATTTGGTGGTTAACAACCTTACTATCAATATAATTATAATATTTAACTAGGTATATTAATCTTAATGATATCTTTATAAGACAATATCTTTTGCGATTAATTTGTAAAAAGTTTTTTTTTAAATATATTTTTTTATCACTGGCTGATTTTAATGAAAAAATATTTTGTGTGGCTATAAAATAAAAAGATAAATAAATTAAAAAATATTACTAATGGCATTTCAATTTTTTGAGGATTAATGGCCAGTGTGGTAAAAGATATCTATGCAAAAAGTTTTTATCATAATATTTTGTTTTGAATGTCACTTACTTTTTTTAATTTTTGTAGGCCTAAATTAAAATAAAAAGAAAACATAAATTAAATAATATAACATACGGTATCTGCAGTGGTATCCTGCAGTTTTTTAATCTGTAGTGGCCAATATGCATTGCATTTACCACCTATATAGTAGATCTCATTGATACTTTTTTTACGTAAATAAACAATCTACTGATACAAATGCGAACAGTAACTTTTCCCCAGCAGCTAGTTAGTAAAATGTTTAATATCTAAGAATGCTAGCGTCCTTCATTTTGCTGCTTTCACTGAGGTTCTTAACGGCCTCGTACCCTTGAGTAACCTTGACCTACAAACTGCTTATCAGTTTGCATTATACATTTTCATGGCCAAGAGGTTTCTTACTAAGTGGTAGCCGCATTTCAAGTTACTTATTTCAAAAGTTAAAAAGCATCTTCCCTTCTTTTTAATTATTTTGCATCAAAGGAAAAAATATGGGGAAACATTTTGGGCATTACTTAGGAAACTGCTTATGGTATTCTGATATTAAGTTGGTAACCTTGGGTCGTAACTTTAAAAGATATTGGTGGTAGGTAGTAATATTATAAATGCGAAGTAAGTTTTGCCTTTTGCTACTATGATTTATCTACTAACTAGCTGTTGCTCGCGACTTCGTCCGCGTAGAATATGATTCCTGTCTTATCCAATGGCAGCATTTAATTGGGTAAATAATCAGCCCATATCGTGTATACCACATTTTATTAAAATTTATTTAGTAGTTTCGTGTGATTGATGGATAAACATCAAAACAAAGAATCTTTGACTTTTATAATTCTAATGTTATAATTTGTGAAACTCACGCGGACATGGCGTGGGACACTGTTCAAAAGAGAAAATATTCAGAAAATCTATACCTAAGTACACGCACGAGTCTCATCGCACCAGCCATCGGACCACCACGGATAGGGCCCAATAGGGCTGATTTGTCCACCACAATAGACGGAGCCGTAGAGAACTTAACGGGTTACCGGGGCTCGAAGTGCAGGAGTAGGAACGGAGTGGTTTTTACTCAGTAAGAGCCTGAGCTCCCGGCTCACCTAGGCGAGAGAAGTAATTCGATGATTTTCCCCCCTTAAAAAAACACCTAATTACAATATTTTTAGTTTTGAAAAACGATTGTTTACTTTGTGGCTAGTTCATGAGATCACGCACGGTTTCAGTCAGTAATTAAAAAGGAAAACGGATGTTTGAAATTCTTTGATGTCCGTAGCATCCATGTTTTCCAGTTACTGTGATTAAAAAAACCGCATTCGTGAAAAATATGGTTTCACAAAGATTTCGAGAGAAAACTAGGTTTATAATTCGGTTTTTGATGAGTTTTTAGCAGTTGAAAAGGATTTTTTTTACAGAATTTCCAGTGGATTTTTAATAATTACTAAACTGAACTATTTCGTGTGGTCGCTGTGAACTGTGCGAATTATATACATGTGGTAGCAATTAACATCGTACTAAAAATGTATTTTTGTAGATAGGTACCTATACCTAGAAAAATTAAGCTTTCAGTTTTTTTTGTATTATGAACGCTTGTAACATACAAAACCTGTTTACTCCATTCTTGAATAATCCCATATTATAGTCAAATATTTTATGAAGACATTTCATGTGTCAATGAACTCCTCTTATACTTATGGCTGAATCATAAATGTGTGTATGGATTAAATAGGTAAATTATCTGCCTCGTTTGCCGAGTGGTCGCAAGTGCGACTGCCTGACTGTCTCGTGTTCGATTCCCGGGTCGGGTAAAGTATTACTGGGTTTTAGAAAAAATCTCAGTAGTAGCACGGAGTCTGGAATTGTGTCCGGTATATGGCAATAGGCTCACCCCCTATTACATGGGACTCGTAACATACATAGTGAAAAGTGTGTTACATAGTACAATGGCATAATGTGCACCTCTGCCTACCCCTTCGGGGATAAAAGGCGTGATGTTATGTTGTTGTAAATTATCATCGGCATGAAAACACATGACGTATTTTCGTGTCGATGGTAATGCGTTCTCACGCATACAAATCTAATTCCCGATTAAGTTTTAAATTTTTTGTCCGAGTCAATGAAATGCTTTTCTATCAAAATAAAAAAAAACAAATAAAATTGAATCCCCTTCATATTTCATAGCTCTAATAAGAAACTGTCGCTCTCAATTCAGAGTGGGGATAGTTCAAGATACTCGTAAATGTCGCCCGACTCCACTTGACCTTTGAAACGCTCGAACCTCGAACTTGATCAAACGACTTGCAACTTACGTTTGTATTCAACCTTTTTTACTTGAAACTTATTTTTATATTGAGACTTTATTATTCTGCTCATTCTATTCTAAGGGTTCGTTAATGTTAGTCTAAGGGCCTAATATACAGGACTTCTTGTTACCTATTGATCATTTCAAACTGTCAAACACCAAGCGGTCACCGGTGACCGCGACCTATTGTTCTTTAATTGTGTCTATAAAACCGGTACTCGACGAGTTAAACAAACAATAGTTTGGCTATAGGAAATATATCCCATAATTTCAGTTCCAAAGTCCGTCAGAGCTTTTTTTTTATCGGCGCCGCCCATGGACACCTGGAACACCAAGGCGTTACAAGTGCGTTACCGGCCTTCTCCGAATCCTTCACAATCCTCAAATTCCCAATTGCCAAAAGGCCGATAACGCACTTGGAACGCCTTCGTGTTTCGGGTGTCCATGGGCGGCGCCGATTGCTTACCTACCATCCGTATGCTCGTTTACCGGCTTATGCTATAGGTATAAAAAGAC